AGAAGTAGTCAAGTGAGTTCATTAAATAACAATGTGTAACTTTGTCTTTAAATGCAGGAGGTCCTGTGCTGTCAGTGTCCACCAGTCCAGACGCCCCAGAATCGGCTGCAGAAGAATCAAATCCAGACCTGCTGCCCATTTCTGCAGGAGCTGCTGAAGTCGTCCCCACCTCCACGGCTGCATCGGTGACCGTCCCCAAAGCTGCGGTCGCCCCCATGGTGCTCGTGGGCAGAGTCAGCTCTGCTCCCACGGTGCTGTTGGTTGGTGCCAGTCAAATCGTAGTGCAGTCATCGGCCGTCTCAGAAACGACGGGAGCTGCAGCAATCGTGCTCAAACCAGCGGCCTCGCCGGGCTCTACACCTCAAAATGTCCCCAGTCCCGACTCCAGTACTGTCAGCGGTCTCGACTCGACACAGGAGAAGGTCGGATGTTTCTGTTTGACACATTCATGTCTCTATTTGGAAAACAGTAGATCCTAAGGCTTGTCAGCTGCATTCACAGATTCAGCGTGTTAGGATGTTTTAGTTGAGATGCTTAGAAAGTCTTTTCATGCAAACTCAGATTTATTCTGTTGTGTCACAGAAGTCTTTGGAAGGAGGAGCTTCTGGGAGGACAAGACGAACGAGAAGAGCACCTGCTAATAGTGAAACAGGTACCGGTGTTGCTTTCAGATGTGACTATAAACATGTTGATTTGAGATTTAGGAGGGGGTTGTGTGGGTGGAAATGGATAATAACAATCTGTGCATTTGCGCCTTAATTTCCAGTTTCCGTTGACAACGGCAGCGAGGAGAAACAAAGCAAGTCAGCTGAAGAGCCTGGCAGACGACTGAGAAAGACGGACTCGCAGACAGCGAGGCGGTTCTTCTGTGAGCACTGCGACCTCGGTTTTCACTGGAAAGGCGAACTTAAGAAACACATGAAGGTCCACAAGAAGCCTTTTCCTTGCGATCAGTGTGGCAGGAGTTTCCTAGAGAAGGCGTCTCTGGAAAATCACGTTTTGCGCCACGAGGCAACTAAAGCCCCGCTGCCCTTCCCGTGCCCTCACTGTAAACGATCGTACAGGAAAGAGGAGTCGCTTCAGAACCATCTCAAGCGTCACCAGCGGTCGAAGCCTCCGAAGCCATTCTCCTGCGATCAGTGCGGGAAAACGTTCAGAATCAAGCAGTCTCTGGAAAACCACCTGTTACGCCACGAGAAATGGAAGCAGCTGCTGAAGTGCCAGCTCTGCGACAAGACCTGCAAGACGTCGGTTCAGCTCAAGTGTCACATGGCCGTGCACTCGGAAGAAAGGCCCTTCAGCTGCGTGACATGCGGGAAGGAGTTCAAGAGCAAAGACACGCTTCGCTTCCACCAGATGGTTCACACAAACACCAAAAAGTATAAATGCACAATGTGTGAGGAGACCTTCAAATATGCCCACTCGCTGACTGTGCATAAGAGGAAGCACACAGGCGACAGTCCCTTCGTGTGCTCCGTGTGCAACAGGTCGTACAGGACCGGCACGGCTCTGAAAAGACACAGTGTGGTCCACACGGGAGAGAAGCCCTTCACCTGTCACATATGTGGAGCGAGGTTCAGCTTGAATAACAACCTGAAAAGGCATCTTCGTATCCACACAGGAGAGAAGCCATTCAGCTGCCAGGAGTGCGGCAAGAGCTTCTCAGACAACAACAAGCTCAAGTCCCACATGCTCATCCACGGCGCCAGAAAGCCGTTCATGTGCGATCTGTGTGGGAAGACCTTCCTCTTCAACTGCAGGCTGCAGATACATCAGAGGTACGTGCACGCCGACAGGAGCGAGCAGTCGGACGGCACGCAGAATTTCTTCCAGACTCGACGGCAGAACAAGTCGCTGGTTAAACCGTACAGCTGCAAAATATGCCTGAAAGGTTTCAGTGCCGCGTGCTCGCTCAAACTTCATGAAAAAGGCCACAGCGAGCACAAGGAGTTCAACTGCGGCATCTGTGGGAAGTCCTTCCACAACAAATACTCTTTCAGCTATCATCAGCGGAGCCACACGGGCGAGAAGCCGTTCGTTTGCGACGTGTGCGGGAAGCGGTTTTTCCACGCCGCGAGTCTGAAGCAGCACGAGCGCATTCACACGGGTGAGAAGCCGTACAAATGTGACCAGTGCGGCAAGGCCTTCAGAACGGACGGGAACTTCTACAGACACATGCGGATCCACACGGGGGAGAAGCCGTTCGAGTGCGTGTACTGTCAGAGGAAGTTCCACCAGTCCAATCAGCTCAAGTCCCACCTGCAAATCCACACAGGGCAGAAGCTCTACTCCTGCCAGCAGTGTGGCCGAGGCTTCTCTGATTCACGGCAGCTCAAGAAGCACAGCTGTGACGGGTCGTAGGTGACGTGGGGCTGCAATCACCTGATAGCAAGTAGGACTAATAAATGAAATGGAGGCATTAGTTACCCATGGCCCGGTGCCTTTTTGCTTACAATTTTGCTCAGCTGAACAAAGCTGTTTTCATACATGAAGTCCAGAGAATCAGGCGGGGCGTCATCTGTAGTTTAACTGCAGCACTGAGCAGGAAATTATTTGCCTCGCTTTTCTAGAAACTCGCAGTTTAGTGAAGCAGACCGGACGCCTGACCTCCATTCACTCGCTGTGAATTCACTGGACAATTGTCTGCTCTTCTCTCACATGCACCCCATCACACATCATGTGGACTCTATACTGCACAGACTGCATCAAGCACCTCCATCAGTTAACCTCTTCTTCAACCACCTGGTTGTTGCTTTTGGTTAGCGGTAGGGTTGAAGTTTGTAACATCTGTATGCTTGTGCAGCTTAACCCTAATCCTACTGCTAAATAACTCTGCGGTGACCTTGGTGGTTTTTAACAGTGCCCTCTCTGTAAATTCTTGGTTAAAACCGTCGAACATCAACTAGAACAGTTAACAAAATGTTAAAAAAAACAGCTGTTATGACTTCATGTCTGAAACATCTGAGTACTGTGTTAAAGAGGGATCAGCTGGGGTCGTACTTTTGTGTAGTGTGAATTTGTACCATGAGCCGATGCAGCGACTAAACCAGGCAAATCATTATGAGGCAGTGGCAGCCTTGAAAGTGCAAAGCCTCTTGAGGAAAATGTGAAATATCGAAAGTTAGAAGAAGAGCAGCTCACGTCTGAAAGCATAGTGAGACAGTGCCCCCTGGAGGTTGGTTACAATTTGCACATGGGTATAACAAAAAGTACCCAGAAGAGGTACTGATCTTGGCATGTCCTTGGTTAATAGAGTAGACATTTGAATGTTGCCGCTCTTTCTAATTGGTGCCGGCAGTATTAATCATTTAAACTAACGTTATCTTTTATTCATTTAATGCCAGTTAGCTGTTGGGTCTCACACGGCACTGTATTTCAGCTCTCGATGTCTCTCTATGACTGAAAGGTGGATGGCAGCCCCGCTAATCAGCACAGTGCTGTACGACTTTGTACTACAGGAACGGTTATATGTTGTGTCAGATCAAACTCTGTTTCACTGGGGCGATGCATAAGCACATTCTGCACAGGCATGGTTTCACAGGTTTCACAGCCACCTCTGGATGAATCTGGGCTTTTATTTTGAAGGTACATTTATTGACTCACCTGTCAAATCTGTTTTAAAAAAATTGCTACAAAAAGCTTTACAAGCTCGGTGTTTGCTCAAGGGTTCAAGCCAGAGTCTGTTTTCTGCCACCAGACAGCTCTGAGTTTATTCAAAATGCAAACAGTAACTCTAGATATAACTCACAAGTATGCTAAACTACATATTTGCTACAGTAATGAGTAAACACATGTGGCTGCTGGTGTACAGCTGTTGATTGGCTCTTTGGACCTCTGGCTTTGCAAAATCCTCCCACTAATTTTTGTTAAGGAACTTTTGACTTATCCTTATGCAGCAAGTCTGCAAAAAAACTGAGCAGAGTTTTACACGGTGTACAGTGTCACACATTTCAGTGGCATTTAAATAATTTGTTAATTGGTTCAAATGGCTCTTTAATACAAATACAACATTTGTAAGATTAATGTTTATATTCATCCATCAGATTAGTTGACTAGTTGTCTTCTATTCTCGAGTTTAATCAACTAGGAAATCAGTTGCAAGCTGCAGTGCATGTATGAAAACGGCTCCAGTGTGACACAGAAATAACTTAATAAAATGTACTGGGAGAGCTGGTAGGGTTACCTGTGATTGAAGAGGTATTAAAGTTTTGGTGAAATCCTGGACCAGCAACTATGTTAAAACCAACTAATGTTAACTAATCTGGGCATCAACAAATAACTTGACTAAAGGTTTATGCCAGCCTAATATAATGTAAGACAGACACTGATGTAGATAATTGTCCTTGTGTTTGCTGATATCAGCTGATACTGATCTGTGCATTCGTCCTTATGATGTGGGGAAAGTGGGTGTGAAAAACAGCTATAACACTGGCACCTCTCACCCTTTAGATGTTAGAGTTAAGGGACTGATTAAGCGTGATTTAATAGCTGTCAATACGATATCAGCTTTTTTATCAGTAGAGGTTAGCAGTATTGTTGTGGCATTTATGTTTTGTATTATTATTTTGTTTCTTTAACCTCAGCTGTTTAAAAATCTGGTGAAACATGAAAGTTACTTGTATGAAACCTAAAATTTGAGATATTAAGGTAGATTACATCTTCAAATGTTCTGAAGGTAATGTGGGAGTTTGCCAGTTGAAATTTAAGTGAAAATTTGGGCATTTTAATTGATTTTTATTTTTTTTTTTTTTTTTAAGAATTCTTAAAGTACGGTAGTAATTTATGTTTTGTGAATTCCCAAAAATCCCAGTGAAAGGTGTAATCATTTTTAAAATAGAAGTCGAAGTGTAAAGTGACTTTCTAATAACTTTATATTTCAGTTCTCTGAGATATGTCTATTTTTCTTGCTCGAAATTGCAATTAAATAACATTTGCAGTCAAAGCGCTTTGTATGAGTTTTATTTTGAAATTTCTACAGTTGCACTACTTCCATTTCCTGAATGAATGGGGCTAACACAGAGGCAAGTTCTCTGCGCTTGTAGCGAACAGTTTTTATCCTCAGAGGGAAAATGTCAGAAAACTTGGTGTTTTATTCAGAAACAAAGTGTATCATGGAGACTGTTATCCGGGTCGCTGTCGATGTTATTGGAAATTCCAAAGTAGAAAATGATGCAGAGGAACAGACTATGAACCGTAAGGTAAGTCAGCGGTTAGTTTATTATCAACGCACACCAGATACGCTAAAAACGCCAGAGACGCTGTGCTCGGGTGAGAGTGGACGGATGGAGTAAAATCACGAAGAAGGGCAACGACACCAAGCAAAACAAAGATGGCGGACGTTCGTCAAGCTGAAGCTAGCTAAAAAAAACAAACCCTCAAAGTTGTTTTTTTTTGGTTTTTTTTGTTTTTTAAATAAAGTGAATGTTATCGTAAGATTACAGGAGCTGGATTATAGTACTAGGTTTAAATCTTTGCGTTTACTTTGTTCAAATATTTCCAGGGCTGCGCAGTTAGCTTTAACTTCCGGCACTTTTTAAAACAAGATTGTAGTGATTAAACAGTGATGTGCTGCGATAATTCTCGCTTTTCTTTCAAGATTTACTTATCACGCAGTCAGTGATAAGTAGTGAAGTAATTGTGATTATGGTTTTTATCATAACGCTTCGTACAAGCTCTACTGATGTTGTGTTTACACTGATAACATGTGCTTTGGTTTAGTTCCTAAATAAACTTTGTTTCCTCTGTTTTAATCCTCACAGCTGGATTTTGACAGCACTCTGGAGATGTTAGCATGTGAGGCAACAAGAAAGATCAGCACCGTTTTCTCCCAGGTGTCTTTGCTGCTGCTCGCTGAAAACAGGACTCTGAAGGCCAAAGTGGGACAGCTGGAGAGTGAGCTAAAGACCGTGACTGAAAGCTTTGAAAATGCCAGAGTGTGGAGAGAGAATGTCCTGAATGGCTGCCCAGTCCTGTTTAAGCAGAGCGGGCAGGTCTTTACCCTGAAGCCACTGGGGAAGTTAAACATAAGGACAGATAAAGTAGCAGAGGGAGGCAGTGGTTCTTCACCAGCTCCTGCTGGAATTCAAAGAGTCGGTCATATATGTCCTCCTGCTTCTGCAGCTCCTCCAGGGGTGCAGGGTTTCACAGGACCACCACCTCCTGCTGCTGCTGCACGAGTGCAAAGAGTCAACCAGACATCTGATGCTGCTGTGCAGAGCGTCTCCACATCATCTCCTGCTGCTGAAGTGGATGGTGGACACGATGCTGGTAAGTTTCCATGAAAGGTCCCAGATGATGAAAATATGGGTTATTTCTTTTTTTCAGTGGTACATCCCATATTGCTCTTCAGACTCACCCTGCATGCTGCAGGTGTCTCTCCTAGAAACACAGAGCGGTTTTCAGCCTGCAGCAAGGGTCATAAAAAATCTCCCAAATTTCAATATCCTAGCAAAGTAAGTTGGGACATTATCTCCAATCCAGATAGCTTTTATTTTTTATATTTGTTCGTTATTTTGTAGCTTTGTCACTGTGTGACACAGACCAGTGGTGGATTGGAGCTTTGCCTTTAACTTGCTGAACAGGTGCGTTGATAAAGTATTCTTATCGATGTTGATTACAGTAACAAGTGCTGCTGCTGTCCTTTCAATAAAAGGCTTCACTGTCTCATCACAGCTTTAAGTGGTCCTGAATGCTTTTCCCAGTATACACACATCTATTTTAGTCACAAATCCCTGTGAAATGCTTCCACTGTGGAGTCCTGCACCATTGCCGCAGACTTCCTGCTTTCCACTGCACCAAGAAAAGCCTTGTTATTTTATTTTGAAAACATGGTAGTGAAGCAAGAAAGAAATTGCCTGCTAATAGGCAGTTTGTTTCACAGTTGACATTCTGAAAGCTGATCGGTGGATACATTTGTTGATGAGATACATTGAGCCGCCTGTTGTGTCAAATCCTGGTTCAAGGTGTAAATACGAGCCCTGAAAATCTTACAACTCTCGTCAGCTGCCAGATAGACGGGCTTCCTGCACAAATTCAGTTTGAGAGGAAAACAAATTTTCAACCTGCAGCTGATTTCAGCCATGGTTAATCTGTCTTTGTTTTCATTCTGTATAGATTCTTCAGGTTCAGAAGGTGGAGAGGCGATGGAGGAGCTGATGGAAGCTGTTTCTTTACCAGGCAATGGACCGGGTGAGAACTTAAATGGTTAATATAGAAATTATTTTCAGTAAAACAAACTAACAAAGACTCTGATAATGTGTGATTTCAGATTTTAAATTAGAAAATAACCAGAAACATGACAAATTGGTCGTGGGTGAGCGTTCACACTAAGAGCAGTTCAGATCAGATCTTCAGACATCCCCTGTGCTGAGTATAAAAAGGTCCAGCGTACCCTGCATGGGACCTGTTTACTGTGGTCCTACCCACGAGCCTTTGTGGGGTAGAGGGGTCTGGTGGGCGGGTTTTAGCCCATGGGGCCCACAGGAAGGGTTGTAGGGTCTGGTGATTTGTGGATTGGGTGGAGGTGGAGGTTATGGCTCTCTGATCCCTGGCTTCCAAAATCACCTTGTGGCACCTGGAACATCAACTCCTGAGCAAAGGAGCATGTGCATGATGTCAGGAGATACTGACAGGATATCGTTGGGCTTATCTACCACCCAGATAAGTGGTAGAAGATGGTTAGATGGCTGGATGGATGACTTGTAATGCTGTGGAGCTGGCATCCTAACCTTAGACAGCATTAAATTAGCCTTTGCGTCTTAAAAGTAAAGCCAGTGTGTAAGCTGCTAAATCTTAGTCTTAATGGGAAAACTTGGGTTTCCTGCTCTGTGACATCTGTAAAGACTTTAGTGAAGTCCTCGTTTATGAGCTTCAGGTGGTCAGAAAATGAAGGTAACTTTGTAAATTATTCTCATTATTAAAGTCAGACGGGAGGCCTAAGGAGCTTGGAAAGAAAAGCGTCTCCACCATTTGACCCTAGAACTGAAGAAGCTTCTCGGATGAGAGGTGAAACGTCTTCAAGCAAGTGAAAGAAGTCCAGACGCTTTTCTTTGCAAGCTCCTTAGACTACGATGACCTGGATGACTGAGAACCTTCACAGACATATTGCCGTCAGACAGGAGGATTATACAGAGTCTGCTCATTAGCTAACAAATCAATCACGAATGTTTGGCCGTGATGATTTCACAGTAAGAAGTGATGATAAATGAGCTTCTTCTCCTGCATCATATGTGTGAACTTCGATCTTTCCTTTTGTTTAGACGCCACAGCAGATTGTACCTCCGCGGACTCAGCGGAGCCCGAATACACCGAGAGCCAAAAGCGTCTGGAAGCAGAGGTTTTGAAGAAAGGCAGAGTGTTTGTGTGTGACATCTGTAACAAGACTTTTAACCGACTCTTCCACCTGATGAAGCACATGAACATCCACAAAGAGCAGCGGCCTTTTACCTGCGACCAGTGCCCGAGAAAGTTCAGGAACGCAGCGACTTTTGAGTACCACCTGCTGCGACACGAAGAGAAGAAGTATGCCAGCTACGAGTGCGAGCTCTGCCAGAAGAAGTTCAAAACAAAAATGGGGCTGAAGACGCATCAGGTGGTGCACACGGATGAAAGGCCGTTCGCCTGCTCCACCTGCGGGAAGGGCTTCAAGACCAAATACAGCCTAAAGTCCCACCAGCTCGTGCACACGGCTGAGAAGCCGCACAAATGCTCCGAGTGTGGAGAGAGCTTCAAATACGCCTTCACCCTTCAGTGTCACAGAAGCATCCACACTGGAGAGCACCCGTACAAATGCACGGTGTGCGGCAAGGTTTTTATAAAGAGACGATCGCTCAGGACGCACCAGGCGGTCCACAGAGGGAAGATGTTTACCTGTGAGACGTGCGGTGCTGGCTTCACCCTGCCTCAGAACCTGAAGAGACACATGCACATCCACACGGGCGAGAGGCCGTTCAAATGTAAGGTGTGCGGGAAGGGTTTCATTCAGGCCAACAAGCTGAAAGCACACATGCTCCTTCACGGCGCTTCAAAGCCGTACATGTGCGACCTGTGTGGGAAGACGTTTCTGTACAACTGCCACCTGAGGAGACACCAGAGCGTAACTCATGACGAGAAGCACGGGCAGGTCATGAGGAGACGGGAGCGGGGCAGGCGCAGAGTAATCTACCGGCAGGACAGGACGATAGTGGACGTGACGCCGTTCAGCTGCGGCACCTGTCACAAGGGCTTCGACACTGCGTGTTCCCTGAAGAAACACGAGCTCATTCACACGGGTCACATGCAGTACCGTTGCGACCCGTGCGGGAAGTCCTTCTTCTACAAAGCCACCTATGACTACCACCAGCGGGTCCACTCGGGAGAGAAGCCCTTCGGGTGTGACGTGTGCGGGAAGAGGTTCATCATCCGTCAGGCGCTCAAGATCCATAAGCTGCAGCACTCTGGAGAAAAGCCGCACAAATGCGAGCAATGCGGCAAGGCCTTCCGCATGTACACGAACTACCAGAGACATCAGCTGATCCACACCGGAGAGAAGCCGTATGAGTGCGAGGTCTGCGGCGTGAGGTTCAGGCAGCTCGGGCACGTCAAGTTTCACATGCAGACCCACACGGGGGAAAGACCGTACTCCTGCAGCAGCTGTGGACTTGGATTCTCAGACTCAAGGCTCCTGAAGAAACACAACTGCAGCGAGAAATTCCAGAAAATTTTGGGGGACGCACTCACAGCGTCCTGATGGTGACGACTCGAGCAAACCAGTCATTGTCCACAGAGCCAGATGAGTGATGCATTCTGGGAGCGTTGCTCAAGGCTGGGCCATTATTCAGATTTGTATTTTCTTCCATTTTGCCTTCCAGTGATTGTGATATAGTTGGCAGTCTTTTAGTGATCTCTCAGCACGACTTAAAATATGAAAATTTTGTATTTATACATAAATTTTGTATTTATACATTATATATTTATATTTTCACCAAGTTTAAAGTCTCAGTTTTCCTACAGTATTGAATAAAATGGTCAAGACAACAAAAATCTCTCAATTGACTTTTTTTTATTTATTTTGAAATTAAAAACAGTGTGATCAGAAGCACAGTCCACCGCCTCTTACCCGTGTTTGCTTAATATAGCTTGATAACATGGAATTATATAAATGTTTACAACTCTGTTAACTTCAGATTGTGAATATCCTGACTGTTAAAGGCTAATTTTAACGTTTTAACGTCTCTGCTGATCGTGGAATTGTAAGTGTTGTAGTTACTCCCTTTGACCACTGGAGGGAGGTTCAATGTAAACTCGATGCTATACCGTTTCCGTTAGGGCTTTTCGCAATAAAATCAAACATGGTATGGTATACGGTATATTGAACAAATCGGATGGATACATTTTTGTTACTATTTTTTTTTTTATCCAAATAACACAATTCAAATAAACAAAATTAGTGTGGCACGTTTCTTGCAAGTTAATACAGTTAAAGCTGATGAGATAAGACAAATGATATACAGTGATTAGCATTTAAACTGAAAAGACAAATTAGAAACGTGATTTTATTCTGAAAAGTATGAACTAGGAAACAGTACTTGGCTTCGTGTTGTGAATGATCGGCATGAGTTTTTTTTCACCATAACAACAACAGTGCGGCAGCGCAGAAGTTTCATGACGCATTTGTAGATGCGAAATAAACATCACAATCAGTCAGCATGGCGGACCTGGAGCCGCAGGTTTGCGCCATTTTGGAGATAATGGTGAACGCGGCGGTGTCAGAGATGAACAAAGTTATCGGCGCCTCGGATCCTCCGCGTCCACAAGAGACATCGTGTGTGGCCGAAGACACGCACGGGTCCCCGGAGGATAAGGTACAGGATAAGGTACAAGGTGGTTTACGGTCGTCAGGTATCCGGGCCGGTTCTGGTCCCCGCATTGGTCCCGGTTTCTCCCGAGCCGACGCTTCCTCCAACTGTCGTCCAGACAACCGGCCGAGCATAGAAATAGAAGAGCTAGCAGTTAGCTCCGGTTAGCTGCGAAATGGCAGCAGGGTGCCGCGCTGTCCTGCTGTATGGAGCATGTGTTTAGGCTAAACTTCGCGTAAATATGAGGGGCTGGTGCACGAAGTCTGGGAGAATCCACCTCTGGGCGCCATTTTGGGTTGGGCAGCAGGCCCGGGCTTATCTATCTAGTGTATGTCTAGAAGCGCCTCAGCTACAGGTTTCCACAGAGCGCAGGATCGATCTATCAGCTGATATATGATCAATAACACACTCTTCTGTGATCATGATGACTGCCACATAGTGTTACCCTGTTGTGCGGTTTTGGGGTTTTCCTTGTATACTTGTGATCCCGGGATCTGATTGGCTGATCAATATATCACATCAGTGTTAGACCTGATTTTTCAGGTCAGGACTTTTCAATTATTCCACTTTTAGTGGGATTTAAAGGAAAAGTTTTACCATCTTGCAGCGTGACAAAGTGCAACGTCCTCTTCACTTCATTACATTACTGAACAACGCTGTCTCAGATTTTCTGATTATCTTTCAACTTGGAATATTTAATAAACCTTCCAGAATGAGTTTAAATCAGGTTCATTATTTGACAGTGGCCTGTGCTCTTCCCATCAGGTGATCCAGTTGAGCGTCTTCATGTCGTCTCTGGCTCAAGAAGCTGTGGAGAAGATCTGCCAGCTCTTCCATGAATGTTCCTCTGCGCTGCGGCTAGAAGTACACGACCTTTGTGCTTTAATTCATCCACCCACTAACAGTCCAGCAAGAAATCCTAAAGTAGTCCTTGTTTTGTAGGTGACGCAGGGTGTGGCAGAGATCGAGGACCTGAAGAGGAGACTGGAGGTCGCGGAGACGGAGTTGAAGCTGGCGCTCGAGGGCAGCGGAGGTCAGAAGGACGCGGAGGAGCTGATGGAGGGAGGCAGCGGGCAAAAGGAGGGGAGGGTGGACGTTGAGGTTGTTCAGCTCGAGCAACGCTCAGGGAGGAAGAGTCGCAGAAGTGAGGAGTTCTTCCTTTTAAACACATTAGTTAGCTTTTGTATTCCACAAGTTTTTAGAGAAAAATATTTTAAATCAAACTGCATCAAGTCAAAATCAGCTGTGGTGTTGTTTTAAAACTCAAATTTCATGACTGAAAGGAAAATATTTTTAACCTTTTCCCCCTGATGTCATTTCTCTTGCCGTCTCCACTCTGTCCCTGTTGTATTTGACGAAGCAGAGGTGACCACAAACCGGTTCTGATGTTTGTCTTTTGTTCTGTGTAGGTGTGGTTAGCAGGGACGCCGGAGTGAAGAGATCGCCCATAATTCATCTGTGGAAAGGCAGAACATATGATGTAAAGTCTTGCGTTGTCCCGCCTCTTCTTCCCATTTCTGTTTCTCATCTTCGCATCACTTGAACATGTTTATTCACTGTTTCCAAATCGCATAGATTAGTCAGGAAATCTGACCAACTTAAAAATAAAGCAGAGCTGAACATCCTGTGTGGAGGGATCCTGCCAACCTAAATTTGTCCTCATCCTTTCTTCTGGTCAGGACAGCATCCAGCCTGTTATAATAAAAGAAGAAGGGTTTGAGTGCTCAGCCGACCGGATGTCGTCTGACTCTGGTCAGTACAGAGATGAGTTTTGGCAGGATGAGGACGACCCTGACTACCAGGTTGGCTTCATTAATATGTTTTTATATTAACTTGTTTCTTTTTTCACCTTGCAGCTATATTATTTCATTGCATGTGCTTTTAAAAATAACTTTTATATATGCTTTTAGATACAAGTTTTTATTTTGTTGTACTGTATTAAGAGATCGGTCCAATTTAATGTCAGCTGATGAACATTTTAGACAGTTGGGTTTTTTGGCATATTTCTTCACTTATACTAACACCCTTTTATTTAAATAAGAATTTATGATACCCAGAAACCTTTCAAGCACTGGAAACAATTAGTTTATTCACTGCAATATTCATCGCCCATAAAATTGAATGACCTGACAATCAACAACGTTTAAACGAATAAACCTTTAATCATCCCTTTTCTTCTCTGGCAGGCGGAACCAGACGATCCAGATGATGCTGACCCAGGATACACCACCAGATCCAAGCGTGTTGCAAAGGGAAAGTCCCACCAAGCTCAAGCAAAGAAGGAGAGTCAGAAGGAGCAGCCTCTGAGCTGCAAACACTGCCGGAAAACCTTCACCAAGCTGCTGCAGCTCAAAGCCCACCAGGCCGTCCACGGGGCGAGCGCGGAAAAGCCCTTCCAGTGTTCTCAGTGTGGCCGAGGCTTTGCGTTCCAGCGAAGCCTCAGCGCTCACATGTTACTGCACACAGGTGAGCTCCTTCATACTGAAGCAGGCACAGTCTGTACGACGTACCCGTGCACACCGTGAAGGCAGGTTTGTTGATGAACTTGGAGCAGGAAGAATCCACAAGCTGACTGACGTCCATCACTAACACACTCTTATGTCTTGGTGAAATTATGTATTGGTAAAGTTAAGTTAAACTAATATTGGCTAGTTTACAAAATCAAGAAAATCTTAGGGAGACAACAAGACAGCCGACATTTACCTGGAGTTGCTAGGCTAGACAGCTAATTTAAATCAGTGTGTTGATTTTTGTGGACTCCCAGAAATGTTTGGTCATGCCTCATGTAAAGCACGTGACTGTTTTTGGAAAATTGTTTCTTTACACCGATGAGAATAATGAGACTCATTCGGTTAATCGGCTTAAAATTAGATCAGAATTGTAGCGTACTCATCGTTGTTTGTTGGTGAGCGTGTTTTTGCTTTTCTGCACACAGGTGAGAGGCCACACACCTGTGATGTTTGTGGGAAAGGTTTCACCCTGAAGCAGCTCCTGAGAAACCACCAGCGTCTCCACGCTGACGTGCGGCCATATCGCTGCGAGCAGTGCGGTAAGAGCTTTTACCGGGCGCACGGCCTGAAGATGCACCAGATGGTCCACACTGGGGAGCGTGCCTATAACTGCCAGTACTGCAACAAACGTTTCACAATACAAGGAAACCTGCAGCGCCACCTGCGCATACACACGGGCGAAAAGCCGTTCAGGTGCGAGACTTGCGGCAAAAGCTTCAACCAGGCCGACACTCTGAAAGGCCACCAGCGGATTCACACCGGCGAGCGCCCCTTCAGCTGCGACACCTGCGGCAAGCGCTTCATCCAGAAGAGCGCGCTGAAGATGCACCAGAAGACCTCTCACGTGGACGAGAAGTCGCTCGCCTGCGTCGCGTGCGGCACCACGGTGGCCTGCGTCGACTCGCTGCGCAAACACCTCCAGACGCACGCGGCGACTATTCCGTGCACCTGCGTGCTCTGCGGCCAGCGGCTCAGCTCCATCACCGAACTGCGCTCGCACCAGCAGCATCACACGGTGGACCGGCCTCACAGCTGCGGGCTCTGCGGCAAGAGTTTCAAGTCGTCCAGTTACCTGAAGATTCACCTGAAAACGCACAGCGGGGAGAAGCCGTTCTCCTGCGACATCTGCGGTCGCATGTTTACACAGCAAAGCAGCCTTAAGTCCCATCAGGTGGGTTTTTGCTGCTTGTTGCACAAGGTGAAACTCATTCATGCAAATAAGTCCTCAACATTAGGACGGACACCTTAGCAATCTGTCAGCGTGTCTGAAACCCAGACTCCAGGCCTTTAAGCTGCAAAGAGTGTTCAGATAGAGAGTAGTGCTTGATGATTTTGGCTTCCAGCTGTTATAAAAACTGTGTGATCAGGATATTGCATTAATTTTTGCAAAAAAAATCTGCTCTCCAAGCAGAGCCATCATTAACCGCTGCTTTTAAACATCTCTGATATGGTCTGCTTTCGGCACAGCAGATCCAAGGCACTAGTTAACTAACGGCTTTCCATGACTGGTCGTAGCTAACGTGCCGGTCTCTTGAGGTGCAGGTTTGCTGCTTCCGTTATTGTGTGGTATCTCAGGCTGGCAGGGACCAGTGGTCTAAGTCCCCACCAGACAACTTCACCCGCGCCAACCTTATTTTTCCCTTCTCCCTTTGCTTTTCAGAGTTCATTAAATGTGCATTTGCTGTTAAATAATTGAGATTGCAGTAGTTATAAGTATAATTGGGATTATGGTTTGTCCCGTACTTGAGCCGAGGGTGAACTGCAGCTGCATCAGAATAATGAAGCTCATTATTCATTAGTTATGATGGAGATAAAAAATAACTCTTTGCTTTGTGGTCCAGTAATCAAGGAGTGGTTAGAGGCCCAGATTGAAATGCTACACCCTGAGTAACCCCGTAAAGTGACAGTTGATTGTTAGAATTAAGCAATACCAACCTGGTCTGAGATTAACTTCATGTGTATGTTTATGAGTACACTTTGTGTAGATGTGTCGCAGTTCCACCTTCTGCAGCAGCTGTAGCTGAACACGTCTGCTGCAGTGGAAAAAACCTTGTGGGTAATTTAGTAAAGATTTAAACATGTTGTTTCAATGTTCTCTGCCAAAGGTGGTCCACACAGGAGAGAAACCTTTCAGCTGCGACACCTGCGGAAAATGCTTTAGCAACACCGGCAACTTGAACCGACACCAGCGCATCCACACGGGGGAGAAGCCGTTCAGCTGTGACACGTGTGGGCGGAGCTTCAACCAGGGCAACAGCCTGAAGGCGCACCAGCAGATTCACACCGGGGAGAAGCAGTTCATGTGCGACAAGTGCGGCAAGAGTTTCTCCTACCTGAGGAACCTGAAAGACCACAAGTGCTTCTATGTCTGAAGCTAATCTGTGAGGCGATGTCAGCTCCTGTAAGCTGGAGTCAGGTTAGCTGGGACTGACACTGAAAGCGATTTTGGTGATTGTAAAGCTGGCTTTCCCAGATTTCTTCTGTCACTGCCAAGAAAGTGATGCAGGTAGATACGGCGTGGAATTTGTAATGGTGGAAAAACAATGTGTTACAGCATCTGTCTGTGAGAATAGCTGACAAATTGCATTTCCAACGTTAAAACTGAACGGACAGAGAGAGTTTTAGCTCCTGATGTGAGTGCATTTATCACTGAACTAAGAAAAGCCTGGGTCAAAATGATCTTCAGCTTCTTGCCTTTTGTCAGCGTGATGTACCTGAAAAGCCAAAAGCAGATTTTTACCACCACAGTTGGTATTAACGAGCCACAGAAACAGCTGATCCTTATTAAAGACGAGGCATTTTGCAGCATTTTGCCCTTTGGTAATGATTTCTTGTTATCGCGACTCACTCGCAGATGGACGGGCCAGATGCTTCAGCTCAGTGTAACATTTAAAGCTCTTTGCCAGGGAGACTGAAGTTTGGCTTTTCTTACCTAGCGAACACATTTTGTATTGAAACGTGAGTATTTTCTGTGTGAATTTGTACCAACTCACCGATGGTGCTCGCGATGAGGATGGGCTGTGTTTGCATTGCATCACGTGCAGCACCACCACAGCTCCTTTTCACACGTGTGAAAGCAAGCAAGCTTCACTATGCATGAGCAACACGTGCTCGTGCTTTCAGAGGTAGCATGAACGGTTTTACTTTCCACAGTTACAGTTCTGTCGAAATAGGATCGCAAGTCATTGATATTTGGCGCTGTGGCTCTGTTTGAGGTCTTCCCGTCCTTCCGCACATATACATGGAAAGCCTAAAGGCATTCAGTTTGACTCTGTGGCCTGTTAGAAAAAGTGCTGTGCTCGGTATAGCGGTAATCTGTGGCCAGCTGTTGCATTATATTCCTCATCTGGGCTGTATAATGTGTAAAAATGGGACGTCTGATCTCGTTGTGCGGCTGATATTTATAACGGTGCAACTCAAAGAGTGCTTTTCTGTCTTTTTCTCTTTTAACATCATCTCACATGATGACCGTTACTACGTAAATGCCTTGTATGCATACAAAGAACCGGCGTGCTGAGAACATAACAGACTGAAAGTATTATTTTGTGAAAATACTTTATTTGTAACTTCTCTTGTGGAGATGATATTCACTCAACCTTGTAACTGAGTTCAATTCATAAAACAGTGAAATGTAAACATGCTTCCTTTTTGTCTTTCTTAATGATTAAAGAGCTTGAAATATGTTTGTTTTTGATCAGAAAAAACAGTTTTACAGGAACACATGCGTCGCCTTCACATCCTTACTGAAAGAGGTATTCAATTTAAAGTTTCTGTTGCCTTTGAACAAGAATACTTTCAAGTCAAGAGCGGAAATGCAAAGAAAATAATTATATATAATAATTTTCAGAAGAAATGTTTCTTAAACCAAAACAGATCTGAGATCAATTCAAAACTGTTTCTCTTAGTCTTAAGTCATATTAATTAATAATCCCCCACTGATCCAGTTTAACTGTTCATGAATAGATTTGTGTGTAGCTGATGTGGTATCCCACAAATAATTACAATATTTAGTAATTTAAGCCGATGTTCACGTTGCTCTGCTGGGCCTTACTATAACTGTGCTGTCATCTAATCTGTTCATGAATAGATTTAATTTTTTTTTTACTGTCTATCCTGGCAGGACGTCACAGAGCAATGAGACTTAGAAGAAAGCTCCAAACTGCACCATCCTCAAGATGTTTGGCTTTGTTGTTGTTATGTTCACCTCTTTGCCAAGAGGTGGCGCTACAAACTAATATTATAGTCCAGATAAATCTATGGAGCTCCTTGGATGGCACTCATTTCTCCTCAGTGTTGCAGAGTAGGTCCAAAGTTCTCTTTCGCCTTTTTGAGGGGAACTTTATTTTCAGTTATTTTCCTAAATGAGTGAAGAGGTGTCTTTGTGTTTAATTCTTCCTTACGTTTCCAGCATTTCATCTCTAGCTTTTAGGTTTAATTGCAAACAAAGACTACACAACACATTTGAACTGTTTAACCCTCTGGGAAAGCAGAAAGCGGGCTTCATTAGCTACATCATCAGGGTTTGTTTGGGGTTTTTCACAGACAAGAACATTCAGCCTGTCGTGACTGCTTGTTAAAAACTGCTCTTTCTGTGAATTTACTGAGAAAGACCAGTGTTGTTCCCTGGTGGCTGCTTTTCATTGTTTCATTGGTGCCTCCTTTTAAATCCATGTAAATGACGTCAGTGTGCACATTTAGCAGCTGGCTATGAGCTCCGTGCTGCACCGACTGCCTGAGCAGCCACAGGGCTGTACAGTAGGTCAGACTGGCTGTAATCCCTTCCAGATTACAGTCCAGGGTATCGTGGGAGGAAGTGTGGGGGATTGGCAGAGAAACAACTTGTTACAGCTGGCTTCCTACCAAAGAGGAGATAAGGAGAGTCTGTTTGTTTTGCTTCTCATGTTTGGGTTCTTCTTTTTTTTTGAACGCCTTCAGGTTTAGGAAAATATTTTATTCAGTAATGTTTATACGCTGATTTAAAGAAGGCTGAATATTTTTCATATCACACATGGGAGAAATCACACCTCCCAGTTTCACAGTTTTTAAAATATTGATTTTTGATCATTTGTTAATATTCTCTTTTTGTACAGTCTGTCAATACACCTCAGGAACAAATATTTATATTATAATATACACCTTATATAATACATGTTATGACATGATATACATTTTATATGTTACAATGTGAATTTTAGGGGTTCTTTTAAAACAATAATCAAATTTAGTGAAACAGTTTTCACTAATTTAAAAGTGTATGTTTGTACTTAGTATAAATGAGTCTTAGGTTTGCAGAAAGAACTCCCCACTGTTTTGCCTTAAAGTTCAAAGAGATAATTTGGACTTGATTGATTTTTAATCTTAGAAAAGTCCTGACTATGATGTTTGCAGATCACATTTTAGTGAGAGTAGGGAGCAGGTGGAAGAGAGTTTGGGGAGGTGGAGGTATGCTCTGAAGGGAGGAGAAATGAAAGTCTGTAGAAGCAGGACAGAATACATGTGTGACTGAGAAGAAGTTGGAGATGCAAGGAGCACAGATAGTGTAGAAAGTTAAAGGAGTTTAAATACCTGGAGTCAACCAACAAAGCAATGAGCAATGCACAAGACAGGTGATCAAGTGGGTGGAGACGAGTGTCAGGGGTGATTTGTGACAGAAGGATAGCAGCAAGAGTGAAGGAGATGATGGTAATGAGACCTGCTATGATGTGTGATTTGGAGATGGTGGCACTGACAAAAACACAGGGGGTCGAGCTGCAGATAAAAATGTTTTATTGGGAGTGAACAGGACAGGATTAGAAATGAGTACATCAGAGGGACAGCTCAGGCTGAGAGGCTGGAGACAAGGTTAGAGAGGTGAGGCTGAAATGGTTTTGACATGTGCAGAGGAAGGTTGGAGATTTATGGGACAAAGGATGTTGAAGATGGAGCTGCATCGCAGGAGGAAAAGAGGAAGACCTCAGAGGAGGTTCATAGATAATCCACTGTGACAACCCCTAAAGCAGGGGTGGGCAATTCCAGGCCTCGAGGGCCGGTGTCCTGCAGGTTTTAGATCTCACCTTGGGTCAACACACCTGAATCACATGATTAGTTTGTTACCGGGCCTCTGGAGAACTTCAGGACATGTTGAGGAGCTAATTTAGCATTTGAATCAGCTGTGTTGGTTCAAAAAACCTAAAACCTGCAGGGACACCAGACCCTCGAGGCCTGGAGTTGCCCACCCCTGCCCTAAAGGAAGCAGCCGAAAGAAGAAGCACATAAATCTTCACCTGCAGAAGGAATTCCTGCAAAGTGCTCCTCAAAGGACATCGTACCATGATGATATAAACATGAGAAATTTCACCTTTAACCTTTGGGATCAAAAAGAAGCCTGTATGACTGCAGAACTGTGCTTCTATCTTGTCCTTCTGTCTTTTTTCTTGCTTTAGACCCTCGACTCCAAATCTTGGGGGTTATCTACTGGTTTTTGGATTAAGATAAGAAGTAGCTTAAAAACTGAGAAACAATTGGGTTATGAGTGATGTTGTGATAGTTCTGATGCCCTCGGGACGAGCATGAGTCATCGCCTGTATTGATCCCTGCTGACGCGCTCAGAGCAGCACAAATCACTAGCTGTTATCCACACACACAAACAAGCCCATCACGCCACACAGAAACACATTCACACACCACCACCGCCACCTTTTCCGTAGCCCATTAGATATATCGACAATTCCACATTCACTTTTGTTTTTGTCTTTTTTTTGCTCTAATAGGTTTATGCACAGCTGACCGAGCAGTAACACTAATGCTGCCGGTATACTCTGTGACATTGCGTTGAGTACAAGCTCTCCATGGAAATACGGACTGCTGCTCTGGTTGTTCTTTCCAGCATCGATTCGCGTGCAGTTGCAGCAGCAGCTCTGCCTCTGTTCTCCGAGGGATGCCAGTGAATGTGCCTGTGTGCTGCTCACCTTTCCCTTACAGTATCAGGCCCTCAGTCTGCAGGGGCTCAGGTCACTGAAGCACTCAGTCTCAACCAGGAAGGAGCAGTGCTGAGGAAGGATGAGGCCCTGGGTTCGCTCCAACAGGTCCAGATCAGTCCAGGTAAGGTTTGTGCTTCTAATTCAAAATGTAAACACGTGACACCTTGGGAGATAAAGATAGTCTTAACTGTCTTAAATTAGAGTAATAACTAATGTAGTTTAATGGAGGAGTGTTCAAAAGAATGACAAATTACACTACAAGCTTTAGTCAGCGCTGCTATTAGACTATTCAGAAAACTCCTGATTAAAGTGTACAAACATCAGCAAAAAAATAAAATCAAAATAGAAAAGTAGTACTCTGTCCAATCCCATCCACACCCTCTACAACACAAAGGTCATAGTAAAGATTAAAGTGTTAAAGGAGAGAAAAGAGTACTCCCTTAAACGGCTTTACCAAAAACTGAACTTTACAACCTTCATGAATGCAGGCTTTGCTGCAGGACTTAGTCTGCATTAGCTTTAGAAAAAAGGTGTTTGGGCTCTTTCTGTGAACACACTGCAGCAATAAATCTGCTTAGCAAAAACAAACGGCAGTAACCGGCTTTAAACTGCACACATCCCCCTCCTGGGCAGATGAGCTCATTAAATCCTGAATTATATTGTTTGGTGCATATATCTGTTTTCATATTTAATTTGCAAGCTTCCATAAAAGTGTCGGGTTTGAATTCTGCTGCAGATGCCTCTCTTTGCAAATCTTTCCTCATTATCTCTGCGGCGGTAGAGACGATTCACAGAGGAGGTAAAGACGCTTTGATTGAATCAGCATGATACGAGATAAAACATGTGAATTTAAATTGAAAACAAAACAAAACGGTGTACTGGTGATCATTGGGGTTCAGTGTAGAGAAGCATAAGATGGGCTTCTCTCTCTACGTGTGATCAGAAGTGAGCTGGGCGATGACCATGTCATGTCCTCTAAAGACTGTGTGAGCCAAGAGGTTTAGATGCTTTGGTTTATACTGGAGGCATCCTGGCGTGCTTACCTCTGGCTCTAAGCATAAAAACTCCTCAGATCTCCCATTCAAAGTTTTGTCTACTATTTGTGCATATATGACATTTTTACATCATAGGGATGACAATAAAAGGTCTGCAGTACAATTCAAAGCCTCCACTGTGGGGTAGAAAATGCCCTCAAAACCAGTAATGAATCAATATAATGCTGTAGTGCACTGCAGCTTGATTATGTAGAGGATAACATAGAAAGTGATAATATTTGATTTCCTGGGGTTTTGATTATCTGTCAATGAGCTCTTAAAGGGGGCATGTTTTCAGGTTTAGTATGAAACAGTTTTATTTGCTAATAGTTCTTGTCTGTTAATCAATAACAGCAAAGATATAACAGGAGACGTGCAGCAGCTGTTCCTTTCGATTGTTATTTTTTACTTGTTTTTAACAATGAGCAGACCTGCTGTTTAATTCATACTTTAAATTATCAACAAATGTTACTTCCTTTGTGATTTTCAGCAAAAGCAGAAACAGATTTCTGGTAATATTAGCCTGCTCTCTCTGTCTCACACACACACACAAGCATGTCTGTATGAATGGAGTAATTGTGCCTTCATGCACACTGGGGGGGAAGGGTGTTGTGTTCTGATGCTGTTGGAAACGTGGTGTTTTGTTTTAGCTTTGCATGCACATGAAACACAGAGCTTAACTTATCTGGGTAAATATTTCAGCCTGCATGATCAGTGTCTTCAAATTTCAAGTATTATTCGAGCTCTCATTTACAGCCAGAAAGGGGCATAATAGGTCAGGACTAGTGTATAGGATGGTGACCTCAATTTATCAGAGGTCAGTCACCATAATGTGGTTCAATGACTTTTTAGAAGCCGTATCCTCGACATGGTCCCCAAAATTTAGGGTCCAGTTTCTGCAAAGCTCTGGCTTTTGGAAAACTACAGGCTAGAGGGATTAAACTTTGCCTTATCCCTATTTATTTTTCACAGTCCTTTCTCAAGTGTTTCCCTCTGCCTCACAGAGGCTGGCTGCAGATTTAGATATTCAAGAAAACAACAAATCCACCAGTGTCCTCTCACTTGTGCCAAACAAACACACATTTCTGTGCCTCACATTGAAAGGCTTGGAAATGCAACAAATTCACTCACTATTGATTTATAGTCATTAGTTAGTGTGTCTGTGGGCCATGCACATAAAACAGCCCTTTGTATGTTGTGTGTAATTTGTTAAAACTTACTTTAAATATACTTGTTATCTAATAAATGCTATTTTTAAAGGTACTTTTTGTAAATACTATCTATACAATTTAACCCGATCTTCCACCACCAGGGGGCGGTGTTTCACAGGTGTGCTTTTGACTTTCAGTTTTTAGCCCTGCCTCCATTTCTTCAAGCGGCTTTGCACTGTAAATATTTCTTTTTTCATAATGACTTGCCTGATTGAATCGCTGCACCATGTTCTAGTATAAATGAGCAGAAGTACCGATAATGACTCTTCCACAGTTATCAGCAGTTTTAATTATTCTTCAATGGCTGCCCTTTCTTTCTTTTTTTTTCTTTTTAGAATTGATTTAAAAATTTTACTTGTTTCATTTAAAACACCGCATGTCTTGCCTGCTGCTTCCATAACAAAGAGAGGTTTTCAGCCAGAAACCTGCTTCATTTCCCACCTCACACTTATTAGTTATTATCATATCATATTGCTTTAAAGAATTTAAATAACTTTTACATTTCTTTCTGACTTCTCTTTTGTTTTGAAGGTTTAGATTATATATACTTAAAGATGTCATTTCTTAGCTCACGAGTTACTTTTAAGAGTTTCTCGTACGTTTTGCGTGGCTCTGTTTCAAACTTAAATGGTGGAACTTTTATTTATTTATTTTTCATTTTGTAAGACGCTACAAAGGATGTATCTACGCATTATGAAGTCACCCACTGGTTTATAAAGCCCAGAGCTAAGCATTTTCACCACTGCCATCTTAGTGTTTTGAAACTGGATGTGATATGTGAGTGGCGAACCTGATTGTAAAACTCCACTATCAGTGAGTTGTTAGTCGTGGGCCTATGTGAAACACAGAATGGCCAAACCTTTTAATTTTCTATGCAATATGAGATGAAAATAGCGACGGAGCCCATAAACGCACCAGGAAAGAGTTCACTGAGGTAAGGGTTGTCTCCTGCTGGTCATTACAAGGAATGCAGATAAAAGACACTTTTCAGGCCTTTTCTAATCAACCTTTATTAACACAATATATAGCTGTATGGGACATAAAGTCATAGCGGCTGTTTTCTTAAATCCTGCTGATAGCTTTTCTTCATCCTGGAAAGTTTACCATGGGTATCTTTATTTTCCGAGCTCTGATAGATTGCCGGAAGACAGATTTTTTTTGCGGGGTACTTGAAGGCAGCTCGACAGATGAGAGAATAGCGCGTGTCTGTGTGCGCGTGCGTGGAAGGCAGCAGCCCTGCCTACCGTTGACGTTCCCCACTCTTTCTCTTGTCACTGTTTTTCGGGAGGCGAACTGGGCGAGAGGTCCGCTCTTCTCTCGTCTTTCTTAGAAAACAGATGGTGTGTTCGTGACCCGGCGGAGACGTATCTTCGCCCTCACACGCCGGCGACTTCTTCAATTACCGCTGCAGCACTTTTAACCAAATCAAAGAGGAGAGGAGCCAAGGGCGGACTGGACAGAGAGGAAGAACCAACCATAGGACTCACACACTGGGAGGCTGCACGTCCGCCTGCTCTCTTCAATAAATTGATTTATTTACCCGGGCCCTGAACGTCTCCCGGCGTCCAGAAGTGCTGCCTCAGCCGGTTCCTGCTTCCTTTTAAACTGACTGCGTCTTCGTGGACTGTCCCCAGAATTATTCAGCAAGCTAACAGGAACACACAAAGTCCCCTGCTTTTTTTCTTCTGAATTCAGACCGTGGTGGCCAGAGGGACACTGAGTCCTCGCCTCTGTTTCCTCTTATCAGCCCCTATCGGTTGCTGTGTTTTCCACCGGCTGTGCGCGCTTTCCTCCTTTCTCAGCAGAAGACGATGCAGGTGGAGGTAAACCGGTGACCACAGGGGCTGTTTTGTTAACTATCCAGCAGCGTGTCAACAGAGATGAGAGGATAGCGTCTGGGAGGGGATTTGGGGGAAAGCGAAGCGCTAAGTGGGGGGTTCAGTGTTGGTTTTCCTTCTTCAAATGAGGCAGACACACCATAAAGACATGAAGTGGATGTAGCCAACCGGTTCAGTTTTTTTTAAAGCATCAGTTTAAGCTGGATCACTGTCTTGGTGATCTGTGCTGCCTTCACGGACTGTGACAATGAGGATTTTATGAGAAGTGAAGCCTTTCCCCCTCTATCTACATACAGCCAGGCTAGTCTGGGGTGGCATTTCTTTCTTTCTTTCTTTTTTCACCCGGTGTGAACACAACCCAGACTTTTTTTTTCTCTCCTGGACGGCGAAGCTCACTCAGGGACAAAAAATGTCTTTACGCACAGCACTGCCTGGGAACGAGCGGAACCCGGACCATGTAAGTAGATAATTAAAAACCATAGGCGTCTGTCTGTGAGAGGTTGCACTTAGGTTTTTATTATGCTTTTCAAGGAGCTGATCATAATAACCCCCGTCAGCCCGCGGGCCCAGAGATTAGTCTGCCATGTGCAAAGAGCAGCTGCAATCAAGCAAGGCGACGTAGACGCGCTAATCTCCCCTAGCTCATTTGGGACAGGGTGCAGTTGGACACACATGCTGTCCAGGATGGAGATATGAAGATTAGACTTTCACCTCCACCGGTGTTTTCATTGCGCATGTTTCCCCCCCCCCCCGCTCTCAGCTGATCAATAATTAATGCATCTGATGCAAGACCACCCAGCCAACCCTCACCTCCACTCCATCACCTCCACCCTGTCTGGCCCGCCCAGTTTTCGCTTTAATAAAACCGCGACAGAAAGCTCAGTGGGCAGCTCAATATTGCAAAATCTGCTGTGTCAGGCTAGCCTGGTCCATCCTGCTGATAGCCTTCTGTGTCTGTGGCAGCGTGGGATTTTGGCAGACTGGGTTTGAGTTGTTCTTGATTCAATTTTTAGTGTTTGTAAATATACTTGTAATTACTGTGAACCTCTCTAATGTCCTATGACATCAGTTGAGCAGCTGTGCAGAATATCCCCACCTCTGTCTCAAGGGCACCCAGCTCAAAGCAGCCTCTCTTTTTGGATGTGAAGGTCTAACAAAGACCACTTCCTCTTAGTGCAGCTAACAAAACACTGAATACTTCCTTTCCTGCTTTTTAAGGTTATTTAAAGTGTATGCTGTCACTGCCTCAGGCCCTGTATATCTTTTGTTTAGATAGGTGCAAATATTTCCAATACCAGTAGTGTCTCTCACTGAATTTTCCTGCATCCAGGGTTCTCAAAGTGCAGACCCGAGGCCGGTGGTGGCCCTTAGTAACATTTATTTGTGGTCATGAATGATAAAGCATACACAATGTTTCCCACATTTCACAGAGGGATTGTAGGTATTGGTAATAACTAATTATTGCAAACGTGTGGAAGATTTGGACTGCTGCACTACAACAATAAGAATGCAAGACCTTTAGAAGTGTAGCTAACAAACGACAGCTTTTAAACATGTAAACTTGAAGGGTTGCAGACGTGTATCAGTAGCTACTGATGAGAAACCTGCTTAGTGAAAAAGCAACTGACATCCCAAGGACGTTAACGTTAACAGCATCCATCCTCAGGACACTCAGACATAATAGACAAATTTTAGCCTAACTGACTCAGGATATATCAGAGGATCAGACTCATTCCAGTGAAAGGAGCTGAAATATATGATGGTGAAGTTGGTGGAGAATGATATACTGGAATCTAGGCAGTGTAAGACCTGAAGTTAGGCTCACAAACAGCATTCCTGTGAAAGTGTACAAATCTACGAGCATTCAATGGGCGAATTAGACTTTACTTAGATGCAGTGCCTCTATGAATTGACAACAAGTGCATTATTAGCAGGACTGCAGCCAAAGATCATTTTGGTAGTTGGCTAATCTGCCAATTTTTCTTCGATTAGTCAACAATTATTTCAATAACTCTTATCTCCTCTTCCAGTGCCTCACCTCCCCAAGTCTACCCACCTGTGAATATCACCCTGTTCTCTCTCTCTCCCCACAGATTAGCTACTTAATGTTAGGTGGAAAAGGTTTGCTATAGTATTAATGTGTGTAAAAACTAAACAAACAAACTAGGAGACAGTGTAGCTATCTCTGTTTATTGTTTTACAATCGCATTTCACTCATTAGCTGCCAAAAAGAGATTTTTCTGCCAAAAACTGATTTCTAGTATTTGCCAAATATTAACTGCCCGTATTTAAACTGCTCTAAATAACGTTTTGGCCTATAATTTGTGAAACAAATGTCAAATGACCTATCAAGTCATCTTGAGCCACAAACAGCATTCCTATCAAAAGGTGGAAGCCCAAAAGTGACGTTTATATCCTTTATTTATCCAGTTAAAATGTCTCATTGATGTTAAAAAATGTATTTTTAAGAGTAATCTGACCAAGAGGATCGCAGAAATTGCAACAAATATAATAATAGGTTTAAAAAGATGTCTTATGTGGCCAAAAAGAACCGGATTGGTTTGAATGTAGGTACAATAACACATAAAGTCATAAGATACTTGGAAAACAGGTAATTTTTACATTTTATATATAATCACTTTGTAAATCATGTTCACCAAAGTCTATTTACCAATATAAGTAAAGACATGACACATAAAAACATTGGAAATCAGTTTTAAGCAGATGATCATTTTTTGGCACAACAGCAGTGTTTTTAAATGCTTGTGCACTGCAGTAGTGCTGTCTCTGCTTTGCACTGTCTGTCCTGATGAACAGAATTAACTGTTTGGGATTTCCTTACCTGGATCATTGAGCATGCATCAAGACATTCTTCTTCGTTGGTATTGAGTGCAGTTTTGGCTGACGATAAGGGCGATAATGGCCACCATAGCTTCCTGCAGTATATTACAGTTACAAAAACACATTTATGTGGTATAGTATATGACGCATCGACAATAAAATTCTGCTTCCGCGTCATCGAGTATGTTGATGAATCGTTGTAGCCCTAATTTTTAGTAGCTTTTTTTTTTTTAAATCCATCCAAGACAACACTGTTATTGATTAATAATTATGCAGTCCTCTTGCTCTTATTTTAAAAGAGGATGCTAAATTGAACTTGCTAGTGTCTCCAGTCTAGTCTTTCCCTGCTGGGTGGCTTGTAAGGATGTCGTTGCTCTGAGCTGTCTTTACTGTCCGATCCATTGCTCAGACAGATTTGAAGTCCATTGTCTTGGATTGCAGCTGCCGGCAGTAATCTGGAACCTGCACCATATAGAAAGATAGTACACTACACTAAGTTCAGAGCACCACGATTGCAAGCAGCAGTCCAGGACCATGGACTTTGATTCCATAGACTGGATAAGAAACTAACTGGAGAAGCAGCTGACTAGTGCTCCATCATTTATTGCCCCAGTTTATATATCATTTTATAGCATATTAAATTATCTAAGTACAGTCAGTGGGAAACACTGATGTAGCAATGTAGAACCAAGGGAGTGTTGCTTTTAAATGTCACTTCCTCTGTTCTTGCCATCTTAAAGTACTTTTGTGTCGAGACGTGTCTAGAAATACTTCCTTGCTAATGTTTAAAAATTAGAAGAAGATTAAAAATGATAAACCATTCTCTGAACAGAAGCATTTCAGACACTGTAAGGCAGCGGTCCCCAACCGTTTTTGGCGCCACGGACCGGTTTATGCCCGACAATATTTTCACCGACCGGCCTTTAAGGTGTCGCGGATAAATACAACAAAATAAAACTAGTACCGGTACTGAAAAAAAAGATTTATTCATAACACACGTGAAAAAACCCAGGAAAACTGAGTTAACGATAAAAATGATAACAAAATAACGCTGAAAACCGATTAAAAACCCTGAAAACTATACATTTCACACCTGAGCCTCAACTCTTGCGGCCCGGTATCAAAAGATTCACGGACCGGTACCGGTCCGAGGCCCGGGGATTGGGGACCGCTGCTGTAAGGGATCGACTGCTTGTGACAAATAAAGCTTTCATTCATTCATTCATTAGGTCACTCTGGTTACGATAATTTGTTGCACAACTCATGCTGGATTGCAGCAGTTAGGTGTTTATTGTTTATACCGCTTGCTGGAACGCTGAGGTACTTTTAGAGGTGGCAGAATCTTCTTTGACTTTTATGCAAACCTGTTGTAGCTGGTTTGGACATTTATACCACATCCGAATAATAAAAATTCAAAAACATTAAAGTTAGATCGAGGCTTGTGTTACAGTAAAGATTAAGACTAAAGAAGCTCAGTCTTCACATTGAGGAGAATCTGTTTTGTCCACACTGTGAGATAGCAAATAAAAGCGAGAGCCACTGGTGGATTCTTTCCCCTGTTTTTTAATAACTGCAAGAGTCATAAAACGATTTCTCCTGAAGCAGAGCAGTAAACTAATAATAGAGCCTGTTAAATGCTTGATGCAGTCTACTCTTGTCAAAAATGATCCTTGTAGAAATGCATATGTAGCATTAAAGCTGGTGAGAACTCAGCATTGCAGGGAATAAACCAGAATGATTGCTGTCCTTGCTCAAACACAAGCCTTTTGTCTTAGTAACCTCACCATGGCTACAACATGGGGTCCTGCACACCCCACCCCCACCTTCCCATTATTCCTCACCCTCTCCTGTCCATTTTAACACACACACACACACACACACGTTCACTCGCCGACTTTGTGCCTTCAACTTACAGACCTTATCCCATTTTGATTTATAGCAACGTCCGTCCGGAAGCAAGTTTAGCCACTTGGCAGACATCTCGACAGTGCATCCTGGCAGCTGTTTTAAGGCCTTTATCTAAATGAATGGTCAGACATCAATAACTTATATTTCAGGCTTCACTGCATCTTCGCAGTCACCCGGGTTTGCTCGATTATAGAAAAAATCCCAGTCACAATTATTTTGATCAATACTGAAATCATAATTGACAGGATTACTTACAGACTCTGGAAGAATAGAAGAGTTATGGAAATTTCAAAAGTGGATTTCTTTGTTCTTTCATTACAATTTCATTAGAAAGAAAATGTTAACTGAACCTAACGTGCTGCAGCTTGGCAGGAGTTTCCTTGGAAATAAAACGGTCGCTCTACAAGAAAACAATAAGAACATATTTGACAACAAGCCAAAATTGTAATTGAAATTAAACGTTATCAGTTTGCACAGCCCTAGAATCATCATTCAAATCTGCTGAATGATGCTCGATTATTGTGCTTGGTGCACCTTCCTAGAAAAGTAACTACATGTCGACACAAATCAAAAACAGCTGCCTACAACTAGATCCGCTTGGTGTTAATATGCAGTGCAAACACAATATGTTGATTAACACAAGCATAATCACAGTTCAACACAAGGTAATTGGCAGTAAGTGTCTCTCACAAAGCTAATGCACAAGCT